GGCCGAGGGAGGTGTGAGGGGTGTGGCCCTGTGCGCCCCTAGGAAGGGTCTGCAGAAGGACAAGGTGTGGCTGCTGCGGGAGCAGAAGCGCAAGAAGAAACTGCGCAAGCTGCTCAAGCGACTGCAGAACAACGACACGTGCAGCATGCCGGGCCTCACGTGCTTCACGCACGACAACCAGCACTGGCAGACGGCGCCGCTCTGGACGCGTGAGCCGGCGGGGGGGGGGGGGGGGGGCCCCCTGAGGGGGGGGGGGGGGGGGGGGGGGGGGGGGGGGGGGGGGGGGGGGGGGGAGGGGGGGGGGGGGGGGCCGGGGGGGGGGGGGGGGGGGGGGGGGGGGGGGGGGGGGGGGGGGGGGGGGGGGGCCTCCCGAGAGCCCGTCCCCGCGGGAAAGAACTGCTCACCCACGGCCCGCGCTCCCTTCCCTTGGCAGTGGGGCCCTTCTGTGCCTGCACCAGCGCCAACAATAACACCTACTGGTGCATGAGGACCATCAACGAGACCCATAATTTCCTCTTCTGCGAATTCGCAACCGGCTTCCTAGAGTACTTCGATCTCAACACGGACCCCTACCAGGTACAGGCTGCACAGGCCAGAGATGGGGAGGGGAGGGGCGGGCGGGACACAGGTGCTGCCGGGCTGGGCCCCCGGAGGAAGCGACAGCACATCTTCAAGTCCCACTGAGTCCCTGAGGTGGCCAGAAGTCAGTTCTGAAGGGACACTGGGCCCCCTGCCCCCCCCCCATCTTCCTGCACCTGTAACCTGGGTCCTACACAGCTTCTCCAAGTAGGCAGCTGACAGCGGTGACACGGGCTTGCTCCCCAGAACTGGAGGGCGCTGGGGGGTCCTTAGGGTCAGACCAAACTCTGCACACTCGGGTGCCTGCAGGGGCCACACGGGTGACAGGGCACAGCCAACGCTCAGGGGCGCTCCTGTTACCGTGGTTTCAGTCATCTGAACACACACATGACCACAGTGGCCCAGAACATGTAAGACAAAAAGGAGCCACAAGTCTCTGGCAGGTGGACTGCATGTGTCCCTTCGGAACCAGGTGGCCGCCACTGAGCTCTTGACACTAGAGCTTCTCAGCACCATCCAATTTCAGGGTTTTGAGAAAAGCCTGCAGTCACTTTATAGGGAAGCTGAGTTTTAAGTGCCAGCAAAGTCCATGGTCCTGTTTTGTCGTAACTACCATACAGGCTCCTGTCTTTCTCCTTAGGTGGGTCATCAAAGAGGGTGGCAGAGCACGGCAGGTCCATCACCAGTAGCTCCCAGATGGGGCGAGGACACAGGCCCCCTCCCCCTCCCTCCACCAAGTGGCCACCTGCGGTTGGGAGGAGCAGGGGGGCAGCGAGTGGAGGCTTAGCCACAGGGCAGCACGGAGCTCCAGGAGCCGCTGGTCAGGAAAGTGAGCCACAGCGGGGGGAGGGGAGGCCCGACCGTGCCCAACCACGGCCCTTGCAGAACGAAGGTCACCGCCCCAGAGCGCCTCGGTCCCCACCCGCCTGGGGGAAGTCCCCTGGTCGGCGGAGGCTGAATGGGGGTCCCTGCACGGACCACGCTGATCACCTCTTGTTCCAACCAGTTGATGAATGCGGTGAACACGCTGGACAGGGATGTCCTCAACCAGCTGCACGTGCAGCTCATGGAGCTGAGGAGCTGCAAGGGTTACAAGCAGTGTAACCCCCGGACTCGAAACATGGACCTTGGTGAGCAGGCGCTTGGCCGGAAGCTGGGGGGTGGTGGGTAGGGAGCGTAGGGAGCCGGGCCGTGGTGGGAAGGTAGGAGGTCACGTGCAGTCCGCTGGGTGACCCCGGCATCACCAGGAGTTGGTGAGTTCTCCCCAGTGGCGGACGTACCACCTTCCTACCATCCACCAACCAAGGGCTGCATTTACCACGAGTCGGATCACTCAGTAATCACCACGTGCCAGTCACTGGGCTCAGTGTCGTCTGGTCGCCATCTCCTCACCCTTAAAGTGAGTGGGCCAGCTGACTCCAGGGCCCACACGCTGGGTCACGCTGCTGATTCTCCAGCAACCTTGCCGAGAGCCTAGGCAGATCTCCCTGCCGCCCCTCAGGCCCATGGCTTTCTGTCCCGTCACACAGGTGTCTGTGCCCATGCCTGCCTCCCCCACCGTCACCTAGGTCATGAATAGATACATGAGGGTCCCAAAGCTGTTAAGGTGACATTAGAGTACAAGCAGTCGAAGGGTTTTAGGGAAAGCTCATGTCACGATTCAGCCACTCCGTCTGCCGAGGGAACACTATCAACATTAAATAAAAACAAAACAACAACAAAAAGAAACACCTTTAAGAACATCAAAAAGCCTAAACTGTTTTAAAAAAGAAAAAAGGCAGTGACAGAGTTTGTCATTGCTCGTGCCATGTTTGCCCTAATGTTTGTTTCACTCATTTCTGTCTCGTTCAGGACTCAAAGACGGAGGGAGCTACGAGCAGTACAGGTATCAGCTTTTGTTGTTCGGCCCGGGACGGTTCCCCTCTCCTGGCCCGTGTCTGGTCTGCCAGGGGCCTGGATCTCCCGCCAGAGAGGGGACCCTGGGCTTTCTGGGTGAGGCTGACACTCCTCCTCCTTTTGACCCCTGAAAACACAGGCAGTTTCAGCGTCGAAAGTGGCCAGAAATGAAGAGACCGTCTTCCAAATCGCTGTGAGTTGGGGGAGCAGCCTAGCCGTGGGGGGCTGGCCTGGCCCGGCGCCTGCCGGGTGCATGTCATTTCTTCCGTCACCCTGTCCTCTGCTGCCGTCATGAGAGGAGAGCAGGGAGGGCTCTCCCTTTGGCAGGGGTGGAGTTGATACTGTGTTTCAGACACTGTTGTTCTCTATAGAATAAGCTGTGCTCCGTAAACTCCAGGGAGTGCTCAGAGGTGAAGTGCGACTTGCCTGGCGCCTTGACAGCTGGGGCTGAAGTGTCCCCGGTCCGTGCCAGCCACTGGGCGGCCTCCTTAGACGGTTCCCAAAATATCCTTAGGCTGCAGGGTCTCTCTCCAGCGCCAGAGAGGCAGGTGGAGGGCCGAGGCCGTGGCAACCCATTAAGGTCACCTCTCTAGTCTAAGGGGAACAGCACCGATAGGAGGTGGCTTGAACCCTCTAATTCACCACGAAAACCCAAGAACACCATCACACGGGAGGATTTGGAACACCATCACCACGCCGGCAAACAGACCCCCTTGGTTTCTGCCATTTGCAACTTCTGGTCTGTTTTCTTCCTTCTTTCTGTGCACGTAAACCCTCTGTGGCTTTCATAGGACAGTAGTGGGCCAGCTAAGCATTTGACATTCCCAGAACGGAAGCGCACGGTCTCTGCATCTCCATGTTCTCAGTGCCTTTACCGGCCACAGAGCGTGGGAGCCCAGAGCCGAAAGTCTGGGCGACCGGGTGGGAGCAGGCCGCTTCTGAGGGGTCTAGAAGGATCTCCTCCCCGCAGCCGCGTCCTTGAAGCAGAGGGGCCCTGGCTGCAGGGCTGACCGGCACGCAGACGCTAAGCAGAGTTTGCTTTGTCCTACAGGGGACAGCTGTGGGAAGGCTGGGAAGGTTAGGAAGCACACGAGGGCCTCCAACCCCCAGGCGCCATCTGACCCTGCAGACGACGAACAGCGCAGACGGTCGCGGGCAGGCCTGCGCCGCCGGCCAGGCCACCCGCGCTCACAGGACTTGCTTTCAGCCACACGGCACCCTCTGGAAGAGAACCGGCAGGACTAACTTCAGGAAGCCCGTTTTTGCCCCTGCTTTTGCTCTGGATTGTACCTCACCAGCTGCACAGAATGCATTTCCATGTCCAGCGGTCAGCACTCGCCCGCTCTGGGGGCTTACCAGGGAGCAAGGTTTTCTTGGAAACTTCCCCCAAGGGTGAGAGTCACTGGAGTTTAATTTTTTTTCCTTAAATCACAGGGGAAGAACAACCCTGTTTTAAGCCCTCGTGTTCTTTTGGTTCGTCCCAAAGAAGGACTCTTTGGGCGGCAGGGCAGAAGCAACTTGCAGACGTCAGAAGTGGTGCCGGGCTGACCGCTGAGTCGACAGCACAAAAGAAGTGACTCTTACTTAGCACCATAACCCAGGCTGCCTCTGAAGGAACAGACTTCACTGTATATATGTGACTATTTACATGTAACCAGCGTGGGACTTTTAGGGGAACCTAATAAGAACATGCAATTTTCCAGAGTGGTGGGGTGTTAATAAACGCTCTGTGGCCAGTGTAAAGAGAACCCCTTCCGTTGTGGACATTGCTATTCCTGACCAGATACCATTTCTCCTAGTATTTCTTTGTTATCTGTCCCAGAACTGATGTTTTTCAAAGTACTGAAAAGAAATGAAGTTGATGTTATGTCCCAGGTTTTAACAAAATTGTATTTGTAAAGAAATTTTGTAGTCTAAGTATTGTCATACAATGTTCAAGATCACAGCCAACGCCCAGCAGTTGGTATGAGGTAACCTTTGACATTTTGTAAAAGGCCGTTCTTGGGAGTTTTTTGGTGTGTTTGTTTTTTTTTTTCAAAAAGCATTCAAGGTACTACCAGTCAACACCTTTTTAGAAGGAGACACCTTGGGTTTTTTTTTTTCCAAGGGGGAAAAGATGGGTATAAAAGAATGATGAACACAGACCCTACTTCAGGGACTTCACAGGTAAGCGTCACATTGCACTTGCACTGGCTTTAGGATTTTTTTTTTATACGTTCATTGACTGCAAAGCAGTTGACCCTAGCCAACCCCGCTCTGTGCACCAGCCAGTGCAGCCGGGAGAAGGCAGCAGCCAGAGGCCAGGAGAGAGAAAGCGGGGGGACCCTCTTCAGCCATCACCCGGTGTGACGCACTTCTCACCACAGAGACAGTGGAGATGACCCCTAAGTGCTCACCTTCATGAAGAGCAGCTCCATGCTTCTCAAGAGAGACTGCTATGATGACTTAAAACAGGATTCTTTAACCTTCTCTTTCACCCTTAATCCAACAGAGATTTTAAAAGAAACAGAGACAAGCTCTTGGGCTTCGATTTTAAATAGAAACCTTTATTTACAGAGACATCAAAATGATCGGCAAAGCCGTCCGTCTCACAAGTACCCCCTGTGGTCTGTGTTCTTTGCCGTGTAAAGAATGACTTAGATTTTTAAAACCAACATTTAATGTAAACTTGATTGAAACTGAATTCATTCTCAATACTATACGCCAATTCCTGAGAATTTTAAATATTGCTCTCAGAAAGACATTTCCACCATCGCAATTCCACACACTGGCAAGAGAGAGAGAGAACGAACAAACTACCTTGTCGTTACTGTCAAACGGTTGGCCTTGGAGCTGAATGGCAGCTCCTGTCCCTCCTGAAGCAGGGGATCCACCGTCCTGCAGGCCTCACACCTGGGACGCCCCACTCGTGACTCAAACTCCTGGAGCCGGACAGGCGTGTGGACAGGCAGCCCACGGCAGATGGCAAGCACCTGTGTTCCGTACGACCCCCACCCATACCCCCAACTCACCTAGACATTAAATACCAAGTAACTACGCAGTCCTGGCGATTGATATTTACACCTTCCCATCAAGATGCACAACTTAGAAAAGCGACATCATAATATGAACATTAACGACGACTTCCTCTCTGTTTGCATAAAGGAAGAAACGTTATCTCCTTTATATCACTTAGATCTTTATAAAATATATATATATTTATATTTATATATCTTTGGACTCAGCAAAAAAGTAGGTACTGGAAATATCACACGTTCTAAAAGCAGATGAAACGGATACCAAGGTTTAAAAAAAGGGGGGTGGGGGTGAGGAGAGGTAGGCAGCCAGAGTACAAAGAGAATTACCCAAAAAAGATAAAAGGGCAATAAAAGTAAAAACAAATGATTTCAAAAGACGGCATCTATTAAAAGAAAGATCAAATTTTTAAGTCTGCACCAATAAAACGAACAAGTAGAAAATATAAAAACTTATAATAAACTTTTTTTTCCATATAAAAAGGGGACACCGCCCTCCAGGTAGCCTGGAGCCGGGACTGAGGAAAAGAATCAAAAAATTTGTATTTTGTTGTTTTTACTTTTTAAAAGTCAAGAAAGGTAAGAGCACCTTCTGTCTCCCCCAGCGCACACGTGACTTAAACAAGAAAGGTCAGAGCCACCCGACGCCGCGGCTCCGGGCAGGAGGACATGGGGTCTGAAAAGTGCAGGCCGCTGTGATGGAAGCTGACAGATTTACAGTCTTAGACTTACTGTTAACTGGGTGGTGGGGGACGGGGGGGTCACACCCAAATCTATTCCACTGGTGGTTCTGGAAATACAGGCTTCACTTACCCAGAAATCAAAGAAATGATCTTACCTTCGGAGACATCTAGAAAAATTGCCTCAACGTGTATGAAATAAAAGAAAAACTAACTGGCTCTCGGTTATTGCTAAGAACTTGACCCCAAAGCTAGCAGAGACCCTGGAGACTCACAGACATGTTTAGAACCCAACTTCACTCAACTATTTATCTGAAGCTAATAAAATAAACCAGGTAAGAGGAATTAAATGGACTTTTTTCTCTATCCCCAACGGACTAAAACAAGTGTCAAAGCCTGGCAACAGTGCAGAGGGGCGGGGGCAGCGAGGGCAGAGTGGGGACGGGCATGGGCTCCGCTGGGCTCCAGCTCTGAGACTCGTAAACCTGGCTACCCTGGGGGTGAGCTTCCTAGGAATCCACCATGCAGCCGCTCTAGTTCTCAGGGACGAGGGCACATCACAGAGACAGAGAGCCAAGGGGACACCGGAAGCCACACGTCAAGGGTTCCACCCCTGAGGGCTCAAGGTGGGATTTGGGTCCCAGCAACCAAAACCTTAGGGTGACTCCTGCAACGTGTGAGAGGCAATATATTTCAATTAAAACACAAAATACTATGGATTCCTATTGATTTATGGACCACTTAACATCCAAGATTCTTTGTTAAATCGCTTGATCTTTTAAAATTCTTGATTTTTTTTTTAAAGTTTATTTCCCCGTATCTATTCTTTCCTCTAAAATTAACAAAGTGCTTAGTTCCGGCAGAGGAATTTAAAAAGACAAATTTAAAATGCCTGCATCTAAACAAATGACCTTTTAAAAAGCATTTAAGATTTAGGAGATTGAAAGGGAACCACCTAACATGGGATTTGGGGGGGGGGTTGCTGCAGACCACAGTTCCCCCTCCCCCAAGCCAAACAATGCAGCGGCTGCCTCTGCAGTTTGCAGCCTCACAGCACTAAGCTCTCCAAAGTCAACAATGTTAAATACTTAGCTTCACAAACTCTGTAAAAATGAGTTGGTGTGACCTGCAAAAAAGGTATATACATATTTTACATAATACAATACCTTAAAGACCGTATTTACAAAAGCAACTCTGTTCACAGAAACACTGCAAGATTCTGATTCAGAACGCAGCACCTAGCCTGGGGTTTCTGCAGTTTATTTTCAAAAAGCATTATTGCTCTACCATATAGGCAAAGGGTGACACCGGCACTCTCAGCGACGACAAAACAATCACCGTTCTCGTCTAACTGCTTCGTTCAGACGAAACCGGGAGGGAATGTGGCTCGCCGTTTCCTCAAGACCTCCGGAGTATTGCATTTGTCCATCACTTTTTAAATAAAGTGCACTCGGCTGCACACAAACCTGTGAAAAACTGCTACTGCTGCAATTAAATACTGTCATCTCGTTCCCCCTTCTGCAAAGCCATCTGACATGAAGGACAGTTCCTGGAGGCGAAGTATTACAGGACGCTGGGGACAGAGGAAATTCCTATTTAGGAAAGAGTCCAGGACAACTGAGAACAGGATCGGAGCAACTCAACACAACCATTAAAGGACAAGAATTCAGAAATACCAACTTCTCAGGACAGAGGGTGAGAACACGCAACGAGCCGACGGCGACAAGGACACGTGACGTGTGGGACCGTGCTCCTCGCCTGGCACCGCCACCAGACAGACCAGGCACCCTGCTCTCTCCAGACATGGCCAGTGTTCTCTAGCCCGCCCACACTGATGTGCAACGCCACGACAGCCAGGCAGAAAGAAGTGACACAGGTGAGTTTTGTGATCAGTAACTCCGTACCTCCAGAATCACATCCCTAAGAGGAAGAAGGTCAACAACTATCCGTTTTGAATTCCATGATACACAGAAGGAGGAAGAATACAGGTAGACATCGCACTGCAATTTCAAACCCAGTCCTGCTCCACTGACACCATACGGGGCGCCCTCCACAGAGATCAAAGCGGCTTCCGTCTTCAGAGCCGGGTGTGGGACACAGTCCTCATTCCCAACAAGCCTGGCGCAGCGTCACTCCCGCAGTGATGTCCCTGGCGGTGCAGACGCGTCAGCAGTATTTCTGTTGGCAATCAGAAGACACGTGAATGAAACGTATGCTCCGCACAACTCGGACGAGCGCACGGCTCTGGAGCGCGGGCTGCCTGGCTCGGGTCCTCAGATCCCACATGACCGGAAGTGTGTGTAGCGGCCCCACACCTTCACACAAGTTTTCCAGCCACTGTAGTTCTGAGTTACGCGCCCAGTTAAAAATCTGCCAGGGACCTTTAGGTTATAGGTGAAGCTTTAGTTCTCTCAAGAGAACAGGAAAAAACGTTTTGGGACAAGTTCAGGCTGGACCCCCATACCTGATCAGGGCCCATGGGCATGCCGGACATGGGCATGGGGCTCACGTTCACCTGCCCCATGGGACCAGCACTGCCATTCATGTGCACCATCCCGTACGCCGCGGGGCTCCCCTGGTGGGCAAACGGCTGCTGGGGAAAGGAGCTGCAAAAAGAAGTGTGAAATTACCTCTTGGCTCATTCTAGGAACACCACACACGCACACAAAGACGGTCACAACTGTGTCCAATGCCGTGTACTTGGGCAGAGAACGGGAGGGACAAGATTCTCTGACTGCCCGCCTTCTAGGCTTCACCACGGCCTGCAATGAAGGCTGCTCAGGCACATGTGGTGGCGGCGGGTCAAAATGGAGGAGCCAAACACCACACTCTCTAAGCTGAACCCAGGCCTTTTGAGCTCTCCATCCACACAGGCTTGACTGGGAAATGCAGCGTTTAATTTCCTGAACTTCTGGCCACTAGAACATGAATGACTTTTATTTATAGAAGTCTCTGTTCTTCACCTGTTCCTGGCCAGGTTTCCTGACGGCCAGCCTTTTATCTCCGAGGACTGGTACATGGGCGCGGTCTGGGGGTGCTGCATCATGGGGCTCTGGGAGGGCCCCATTCTCGAGGGCATCATTGCACTGGGAGGACTAGACACTCGCCCAAAAGCTGGATCTGGCTGTTGTCCCATCCCTTGAAAAAAAGAAGAAAAAGCAGGAATTGCAAACTCCAGTGGCACCTTCCTAGGGCATCAACTTTCTATAGAAGCTTTATGTTTTTCCGTGAAGGTGGGGGGAGGTAAGACACACAAAATGTAAGAAGGGGCCACAGGGCGCCACCTGCCAGGCCCTCCTGCCTCCCACTGAGACGATGGAGGCATGGGCTTTCTGCACAAAGCGTCCAGGCCACCTGAAGAGCTGTCACTTCACAGACGCTTCTGTGTGAAGGCGATGCCACCTCCTGCTACTCACATCACTCTGTCCCTGTGGCCCCACCTGGCTGGAGTGCACTTAAAACCTACTTTCCCCAAAAGATACCTCAACCCCCACTCCTACCACGTTCCTAGAATCTCTCAAAGACTGACCTGAAAAGTTGATGTGCCTTATTGTAATTAATACACCCAGAAGCCCACCCAGCACTCTTCTTGACTATGTGGCCAAGTGCTCAGACTGTAGAGTCTACCACAGCAGGGGGGGGGGGGGTGTCTTTCCTGCAAACCAAGACCTGGGGAGCGGAGAAAAACAAGACCTGGGGGCAAACACCGCCATGCCTGTTAGAACAGCTCCTCAATTACAACCACCTGTGCACGGCAGCAAACATTCTGGTGGTTTTCCCACCAGTCAGACGCTCTCCGTTCAGACTACCGCGTCTGTGGTGCTGCGGGGCACCATCTCTGGTTTGGGGTGCTCGGTCCTCCCTTCTTCCACGCTCCCTTCTCGCCTTCTAACGCACAGGCCTCAGATAGCCTTTCCCCAGTGCAAACATGTCTACTACTCAGTGACCTGCCACTGCCTCCAGAATGTGACCAAAACTCGTCATCTGACCTGGCCTCTGCTTGTCCCTGGTCTGCCTCATTGGTCACCACATCCTTCGTTCTGTTATTTTTAATTAATTCCGTCTTTCTTGTGACTAACAGAAGGGAGGACACAGTATTTTGTGTTTAACATGCAACAGACCTATGAATCTTAGGTCCTTAGTAATGTTCCTCTGGAGAAGACATTCTGTCAAATTTACCATAATTCGGCGGATATGGAAACTGCTGGGGCGGGGCTTGCGGCACCCCAGGCCCGGCCAGCACCCCATCCATGCTGGGGGAGGCGGTCACGTTGGGGGGTGGGCTGAAGGCTTGGGGCTGCTGCTGCTGCTGCATCATCATGGCCACTCTCTGCTGCCGGAAGTGGTGACTGAGCAGCTCTCTGCTGCGCTGGGCGACCATCTGGGCATTAAGGAAACCCTGCTGATCCCGCAAAGAAGAACGTAATTACACAGAGCAAGAACCAGCCAGTTCCATGCATGTAGTACCGGCACAATTCGGGAGGGGAGAAAAATCACCCAATGACTCTCTTCTCAAAAAATGCACAGTTCTCATCACGGTAAAGGAGATCTGGCGAGGTGAGCAGGACCGCGTGCAAAACAGGGACCTGGAAACTGTTCGGGCGAGTTGTCAAGCTTTAACACAGAAAACATTTCTCAAAGCGAGAGAACATGTAAGGGTAGAATCTGAGGACAAACTTTTCAGAAACTATGAAATAAAACTACAAGAAGGAAAAGGGCAGCGGTAAGAGTGCAGGAGGAGGGGAGGCACAACAGAGCACCCCGAAAGAATAGGGCCACCCTCCAGGAAGCAGGAAGCTACCCCAGAAAGGGCTCGTAGAGTCTCTTTTAAGTGTCTGAAAGGAGAGATGGAGGGTAAGGAGTGGCTGTGGTCACATGATCAAAGCCCAGAACAAAAAAGCTGATTTGGGCCCTATCAGCTAGGAGAGAACATCTCCAAAGAGCAAACTTTTCTTTTCTTGGAGGGTACCAAAAAGATAGCTTATTCAAGCTCAGCTTACTCAAGATATCTTGCATTCAAAGTACTTCCCAGTAGGCCCAAGTCAGTAAACACCGGGCACTGTTTCTCCACAATAATTATGAACAGAATTTCCAACCACAGTAGAGGACTTCCGGGTGGCCATTTGCCTCATGCACATTAATAACCTCAGAACAGTCTCCACCTTGGGCTGCAGGTTACAGAGACCTTGAACATCATCCTTCCCACCATGGGAAACAGGTCATCTCAGAGGTGGTCCTTGGGAGTAGGACAATGTATTATTTATTTTCTTCTTCTTATAATTTCGAATTCTACCCAACGAGCATGTGGTTTCATAACCCAGAACCAGAGAAAGTTTACAGATTTATTAAATTCCTTAAAAAAATAAGTGATAGCTATTTTCACAACACAGCAAATAATCACAAAGGGACTTAATTAGAAAACACAAACTAGCAGTTTTAATAAAAGAACCTCTTCCTCATCACCAGCAAGACAGAAGAGCGGAAGAGGGAGTGTGAGGAGACCATGGAATGGTCTCTTACACCAGAAACTCGCCGTGACGCGCATATACCGAGGGCCAATCACGGAGGAGGCCCCACACAGGGCCCATGGCAGTGTGCTCGGAGAGGTCTGTTCTCACCTGGGGGTTTACCTGGGGCTGCATCATGGGCCTCATCACTGCTGCGCTCCCAGCAGCGGGGTTTTCCATTTTCATTTCCAGTGCCTGACGGCTCTGATTCAAAAACTGAGGAGAGAGAGGTTGGTTAGGATGCAAGGGGAGCACATCAATGAGCCCCAAACAGCTTTCCAAACCCTCAGCACCACCCAGGGAGGTCACGATGCTACCTCCAGCCCCGTAACCTGGTCACGACACATCTACACGAAACCAGCACACTCCACACTTCAAAACAGGTCAGGCTGAGGGGTGCCTGGCTGGCTCAGTCGGTGGAGCATGCAACTCTCGACCTCATGTTCTAAATTCGACCCCCACAGTGGGTGTAGAGATTACTAAAAAATAAATAAAATCTTTAAAAAAAAAAAAAAAAAAAAAAAAAGAGGCACCTGGGTGGCTCAGTCGGTTAAGCGTCCGACTCTTGATCTCTGCTCAGGTCTTGATCTCAGGGTCGTGAGTTCAAGCCCTGTGTTCAAAAAAGTTCAGGCTGAAAAGTTCTTGGCAAGCATATGAAGCTTTCTCACTTGGCATCAGGAAGAAAAGTGAAAGCGTAAGTGGGCAGCTTAAAGATGACCTTTGAGGCACCTGGGTGGCTCAGTTGGTTAAGCCTCTGACTCTGGCTGAGGTCATGATCTCACAGTTTGTGGGTCCGAGCCACGGATCAGAGCCTAGAGTCTACTTCAGATTCTGTGCTTCCCTCTCTCTCTCTCTCTGCCCTTCCCTCGCTCAAGCTCTATCTCTTAAAAATAAATAAAAAAGAATTTTTTTAAATAATAAACAAACATTAAAAAAAAAAGACAATCTTCAACAGTAACTCAAAGGATTCCTAAAGTCAAATTTTCTCTGGGATTATTTAGGCCATTAGGAAACAACTTTAACTTGCTCAAATACTGGATGAACTACTACTACTACTTCTTCTGTTAGCTTCTCCTCGGTAGCTTTTAGTGGGAAGAAGCTGTGAAAAGGCAAGTGCCACCACGAGTGCCCTGACACGGCCTCCCCGGGCGCCCGAGTCGCCTAGCAGAGGCTTGGCTCACCGAACGGCACACTCACCCTGGGGTTTATGCGGCTCGGCTCTGCCACATGTACTGACTCAGCACAGCCAAGACATAAAAACAATATCGGTAATTAAATTGTAAAATTTGCTGGGGATTAAGGAAACAATAAAAAAAGAGATATCTTATCTCAGAATATTAAGGGAGCTCAAGTTTCACAAGCCATCTAAGAAGGCAGAGGTTCCATAAAAAGAATACTCTTGATTGCAGCTCAGGTCACGAGTTCATGGTTTGGGGGGTCTGAGCCTCACAAAGGGCTCTGAGCTGACAACACAGAGCCTGCTTGGGATTCTCTCTCTTTCTCTCTGCCCCTCCCCAACTTGCTCTCGCGCTCTCTCTCAAAATAAATAAACTTAAAAAAAGGGAAGGAAGGGAGGTAGAGAGGGAGGGAGGGAGGGAGGGAGGGAGGAAGGAAGGAAGGAAGGAAGGAAGGAAGGAAGGAAGGAAGGAAGGAAGGAAGGAAGGAAGGAAATCATCTACCTCTAAAACTCATGAAGCCACCAAGAAATACTCTTCTCCTCTAAGGGCAATCCTCTCTGACACTTTTTACTTTTAACCTGCACAACAGAACAGCCTGATGCAGCCGCAGGGACCACTCCCTACCAAGGAACCATCTATAGCAACAAAACGTTACAGAGAAGTCAAAATGAGAAAGGTATTTTGGATGACAAGGGACAGAGAGACAGGAGCACGTGCTGGTCACCTGCTGGCCCTGCAGCCTCTGCTGAAGCTGCATTCGGAGCTGCTTCGGGGTGCTGGTCCGGGGCCTCATGATGCTGGCCCGTGGGTGCATTCCCTGCAGAGGAAAACTTCCTTGTTGGCTCATCTGACTCATCATAGAGTTAAAAGATGGTGATTGTCCCTGAAGATTAAAGCCTCCTTGCATCGGAGGCCCCTGTGCCGCGTATGTCTGCCCGTATAGTGCCGCCTTCTGATCCATCATCACTGCCGCTTCTTGGCCTTGGAAGGTATCCTGTTTGGACTCCAAAGCTTGTCCCTAAAACATTAAACACATAAATGAACAGTGAAGTACATGAGAATGTAACAGAAATCAAATGAGTAAAAAATAAAGTCAATGCATATGAACAAGGATGTAGAGGATTCCAAAAGCAAAATCAAGTTTGTCTGAAATTCTGTAACAATACAGATCAAGACCCATCTTTTCACAAGTGCGTCCTAGTGCCTAGCTCAAAGCCTCACATGGATACTCAAGTGTCTGGAGAAATACTATTTGTTCCAGACCAGATTTCTATACCAACACAGACCAAGCCAAGTATAAAATAAACTTAATTAAAGCCACTGTGATCAATTAATTCCCATATAATTTGCACAAGAATGTTTTTGACAGTGGTTACAAGTGATCTTGGACAAGCTCATATCCCCCGAAGGCTATCTGTAGTTGCACAAACAAAACCTAAAGGTGGTCATTCACTATTATTTGTATGGCTGGTGGGACTGTTAAGAAATCCGTTTACTCAGTAAGTATATATAAGTGCCTGCCATGTGCTGACATCACCTCTCTGCATGCTAAGAATGCATACAAAATAAGGTCCAGCAAGTGACAGAAAAAGTAGTGAAAAATACAAAGTGTCCGACTTCGACTCAGGTCATGATCTTGCGTCATGAGCTGGAGCCCTGCGTCGGGCTCTGTGCTGACAGCTCAGAGCCGGGAGCCTGTGGATTCTGTGTCTCCCTCTCTCTGTCCCTCTCCCACTTACACTCTCTCCCTCAAAAATAAAATAAACATAAAAAAATTCTGCAGGAGGGAAGAGGCTGCCATGCTAAGTTAGGAAGAGCCTGTGAGATACTGTGTTCACCTTTACCGTCCCATCCATGGGCACAGAAGGCCAAGTGTGCAGGCAACAGTCTCGTCCCCAAACACACTTCACCCCACTGTGACGTGACACCACCCTCACCTTCCCCACCTCCCTGATCTCTCCTTTGGGGGCACGTGAAGAGCTCAGCAGGGTTCGGTCCTAGGCCCTATTTGTTCTCCGGCTACATTTTGAACTCTGGCCCTCATCTATGGTGACAACTGCTGGGCTGGTCTCCAGCCTGAATGTCTCTGAACTCTCCCTCTGCTTGCACACATGCCTGCCTAACACCTTTACCGGGCTGTCTCAGGCATCTCAGACGTCAGTCACTTGTAGAAACCACAGGTCATGGTTCCAAAGAGTCCCTCACCTAAAAGACCAATTCTCCTCCAATCTTCCCTCATGGCAACATGGCGACACGGTTTGCCCAGAACTAAAGCCAACAATCTGGATGCCTCACATTCTACTCCCCCCCACTTTATTTAAAAAAAAAATTTTTTTAACGTTTATTTATTTTTGAGACAGAGAGAGACAGAGCACAAGCAGGTGAGGAGCAGAGAGAGAGAGAGAGACACACACACACACACACACACACAGAATCTGAAAACAGGCTCCAGGCTCTGAGCTATCAGCACACAGCCCGACACAGGGCTTGAACCCACAGACCGTGAGATCATGACCTGAGCTGAAGTTGGACACTTAACCAACTCAGCCACCCAAGTGCCCCATCCACCCCCTTTTTTAAAAGGTTATATTTTTGCGAGAAAGAGGGTGAGCAGGGGAGGAGCACAGAGAGAGGGAGACAGAGGATCCAAAGCAGGCTCTGCACTGAGAACAGCGAGCCCAATGTGGGGTTGGAACTCACAGACTGTGAGATCATGACCTGAACCAAAGTCAGACACTCAACTGACGGAGCCACCCAGGTGCCCCTCTCCCTTTCCAAGCATGTGTCTGCACACACGGTCCAGCAAGTGCTGTCGGTTTTCTTCCAGGCCATACTATGCACCCTTCCCTTCTTCCATGCCACGGCTGTGACCCTCTCTAAGATACTGTCTTGGACTCTCATAGTAACTGGCATCCATGTGTCTGCTCTGTCCCCTCATACCAACCTTTCCCCAGACAGCACTCTGACATATCTGTCTATAAAGTGGAATAAAAGGTATTTTCAGACTCAATCGCGTGCAGTGGGGATGGAGAAATTAATAGAAACTGCGTTTCAACAAAACGAAGGAATAAAGCAAGAAGGAAAACCACTTGGTACCAGGAGCTGGGAGATCTGACACGAGTGTCTAGACCTGCCTCTCAGGACAGAGCCAAGCTCACCCGCAGAGGGATCACAGGAGGGAAGGGGGGAACTGAGGAATTACCTAATAATGTGTCTGAGCATGTGATGAAAAACCTAAGAGAAATTTTACAGTTCTGCCGCAGCATTTGGGAAGGATCAGAAATGCATAAAAACAAAGCAAATCAAAAAAGGCGGCAGCTGGGGCGCCTGGTGGCTCAGTCGGTTAAGCGTCCAATTCTTGGTTTCGGCTCAGGTCATGAGCTCACGGTTTCATGAATTTGAGCCCCGCGTCCGTGCAGAGCGTGCTTGGGATTCTCTCTCTCCTTTCTCTCTGCCCCTCCCCCACTCGTTCTGTCTCTCTCTCAAAACAAATGTCAAAAATAAAAGAAAAAATGGCGATTAACTTGAAATCAGACAAATCAAAACCAAAAACCTATACAAACTATACCTGACTCAGCAATGAGCCAAAAGAATATAAATACTGACCGCCTATTTAACAACAAAAGACACCACTCATACTGGCAGTAAAGAGAGCACACACTCCTAAGCAGGTACTGTGTATGGGTGTGGAGGAAGGGGAGCTAAATACAGATCCACAATTTCTTACCTGAAATTCAAAAAAAATCCCCAAAAAAAGTTCTAAAAAAAGCAACACAATTGTTCATCAGCACCAAATGTATTTAATAGCGAAACTTGACCTGAACTTTATGAAGCAATACGTAATCTCTACATGTCTCACTCAGTGGGACTATGTATTTTGCTATAAAAGTATTAGCGTGTCTGATGACCGGCTATTGCCTAAAACCACAGTACTGCTCCAAACTCCAACAGGGGCATCACAGAATATACGGCATACACACACCACTTCACCTTTCTAAATCCAGAAATTCCTGAGCCCCAAAGCATTCCTGACCCTAAAGTTCTCAGATAAGGGACTATGAACGCATTGTCAACTATCCTACCAGGAAATCAACAGATACAGACTAAAGCTGATAGAAAACAGCTACATAAGCATATTACTTAGAATATTTCCAAAATAAAGAGTTGAGTTTCACAATCTCTGACTAGGCTGTGTGTGATTCTTCAAAGAGTGTATTTTTGTCTCTTGTTAAAGTTAAAAACACAGATTACTTAACTAAAAAAAAAAATTAGGGACACCTGGGTGGCTTAGTCGGTTAAGTGTCTGACTTTGGCTCAGGTCATGATCTCACAGTTCACGAGTTCAAGACCCCACCCTGGGCTGTCTGCTGTCCACACAGAGCCTGCTTCAGATCTTCTGTAGCCCTCCCCACGCCCTCCCCCACTGGTGGTCTCTTTTCTCTCTCTCCCTCTCAAAATAAATAAACTTAAATTTTTTTTTAAATTAAAATGAACTACAACCAAAAAGAAAAGCAAGTCTCATAACTGCCCTGCTTAAAATCTTCTATGACTTCCCAACATGGCAGAAAAATCCCCAAAGGACGGCTCTGTGGAACCCAACCTCCATTTACCTCTCCTCTCTGACACCAGTGTATACAGCAATCTCCTCTCTCTCTCTCTCTCTCTCTCTCTCTCACCCTTCAAATGTCAACTTACATGTCATCTCCCCAAGAACAAAGCTGTCCTGACCATTCACACAAGTCCCCAGTAATTCTTTATCTCCTCATTCTGGACTTGAAAACAAAAACATTTTTAAAGTAAAGAACAACTGTACAAACAAGTCCCCACTTAAAAGAAATCGGGAAAACTATTTAAATATATTAGACAAGTTAACAGCCTCAGATAGAGGGCATTTTTAGAGGAAAAAATCTGACACCCCACCCACACCCTAAGAAAAGATTCTTTTTTGACAGTCTCCTGGTGTCCTAGGCCTTTCCTCTAACCGCTCCCTACCGTGTCTGCCGCTATCTGGGTGGCTCCTTGCCTGTCCAACGGCTTGTGAGCTCTGGGAGCAGGAACTAATTTGCTCACTGCTTCCCCTCAGCCTCCAACACTAACTGGCATAGAGAAGGCAAATGTTTGTTAAATGAAAGAATCAGTAAATAAATCAGTAAGTAAACTTACATAAAGTGCTGTTGCATACCAAGAAAAACTCGATCAGAAGCTATTTCACAAACACATATAAATGACCCAAAAAACCCCCTAAATATGTTCTATCTTGCAATCAACAAACTACAATTTAAGACACACATCTTTAGGGCGCCTGGCTGGCTCAGTCAGTACAACATGAGACTCTTGATCTTAGGGTTTTGAGTTCAAGCTCCACCTTGGGTGTAAAGGTTACGTAAAAATCTTTTTTAAAAATAAATAAAACAAGCATCTTTGTTGCCAACCAGACTGGAAAAGATTTAAAAGAATAATCATGCTCCGTATTTGTGTCATCACTTGATGTCCACACTACGTGCGTCTTTCACCTACGTGGGCCACAGCACAGTGCTTGCGAGGGTGACGGACTCCGCAATCATCACTCTGTGTTGTGGGAAAGCAGGTGGATGATTCTTCAGGAAAACAACCTGAAAGTATGTAGCAAAGCCTCAAGATGTACACTCTCTCTAAGCCAACCAACCTTTCTCTTGGATCATGTGTGAGAAAACAGACTAAGTGAAGAAGAGGGGAGTAATTTATAGAACTGTTTATGACAGGGAATTGTTTAGAAACTAGTTAAATTTTCATCACTAGAGCACTGGCTAAATAAACTGTGTTTGATGTAACTGATACTATTTGGCTGTTAAAATTAAAGATGTATATATTTTAAAAAGTTGACTGAGGAGGCACGTGGCTGGCTCAATCACTGGAGCATGCAACGCTTGATCCTGGGGCCATGGGTTCAAGTCCCAGTTTGGGTGTAGAAATTACTTTTAAAAAGTGAAAAAATGATTAAATAAAAATTTTTAAAAGATGACTAAGGAAGACTTTCATAAGTAAAATAGGTTACCAAAGTGCTTTTAAAGTCTGTTCCCTTTTTAAAAAAATTTTTTAGTTTATTTACTTTGAGAGAGCATGTGTGTGCACATGAGTGGGGGAGAGGCAGAGAGGGAGAGAAGGAATCCCAAGCAGGCTCCAAGCTGCCAGCACAGAGCCTGATGCGGGGCTCAAACTCATCAACTGCAATATCATGACCTGAACCAAAATCAAGAGCCGGACGCTTACCAACTGAGCCACCCAGGCGTCCCAAGTCTGCTCCCTTTTTTCCAAAATATACACTCAAAAGTTACTAATGATTTTTTTTTTTGTGCCAGGATTACAGAGGATTTTTAACTTTTTTTAAAATACACACTTTTTGTTATTGTCAAAAATTTTTTTTACATAGTGACCACTATTTTATCAGTAGAACACAGAAAGCTATTTCCAACTTAAAATTTTAAGGGGCAGTTCCAGCTTGTCAGTCTCGGTGTAATCCTCACCTCCACCCCCATGCAGCTGGGTGAGACCCCGCGCTTCAGGGTCGGGGTCACGAGACTGCCATCGCTGGAGGTGCACATCATCCACTGTCCATTTCCCAGCCTCCCTCTAAAAATTGCTGCAGCATTTGCCACAATGGAGTGTATACATTTGTCTCCCCAAGAAAGAGTGACAACCCCTGGGAACCTCTCCTGATTGTCACTGAGTACACAGACTGAGACAACGCCCACGCACACACAGTTCCTTTAAATGCAAACAGCCACGACGGAATGCACTGCTTTCAAAACCACAGGTTTGTGAATGGTGTATTTTCATAAGGCCGCACAGGTAACTGGGAATAAGCGATGCTGTTGTTGAGATGTTCACACTCACTACCATAAAGCTGTTTTGTCTCCCTCCCTCCCTCTCATGCACACGCACGCGTGCACACACACACGTCTCAAGAGTATACACTGGTAGACTAGGTAGCAGAAAGAAGTAATTTTAAAAACGCAGACTCAACTAACATAAGAAAAAAGTATTTTTAAAAATGCACAGAAGTTTTACTGCATCATTTCTACTGTTGCCTAAATTCTGACAGCTTTGCAAACCAGGGGGTTGCTGGGAGGCCGTCTTCTGACTGTAACGCTGGCATCTGCGACACAGGGAGGTAACACAGGTAACAGGAAAGATACACAACAAGGCATCCTTGTGCATGGCTTCATGAATGTGTGAGCACGTGTGCACACACACACTTACACGTCCATGTCAGTGCTACCCACCTGATTTACAAGTTCAGGGATGCCCAGAGCTCTGTCAATTTCTTCCAGGCCCGTGGCATCCGTGTTGCTCAAGAGGGTGTGCAGCTGGTCCAACAACGCCCGCTCATCACTCTGCCCTTCCAGGCTAGGGGGTGGCCCCAGGAGGTCATCCAGGGAGTTCCGAAGAAGCGGCCTAAAAAGGGACTTGCAATCAATGCCAGTGGTGCTTTTCCAATTACACACACACACGCTTTTAATACGCAGTAATAACGTAAATATGACAAGTAGAAATAATAAACCAACTGAGTAACAGAGAAGGGCAAACGGGACCAGCTGACACTGCAGGCCATGGTTTAAGCTGCCGCCAGGCCGTCCTACAGACACCTCAGCTAGCTGCCACACACCTGTGTACAGCCACCCCACCAAAACAGAACTACAAGATCCACAGACATTTGGGGGACAGCAGAGGTTGAGGGGGAGGGGACAGGGTGCTATTCTCAAGATCACACAAGACGGTCGTTACGGTATTTGTTAAGTTGAAGTAACCAACAAAGGGCCAGAGAAAAAGAAAAACCAGACATGTTAGACCATAGTGAACTGAGCCTGGGACCTGTCAGAATAACGTTTTGTTCTTGCTTGGCCCACAGAGCTCACGTATTAACAAGTATAATACAAACTCCATACACGCACAGCAAGGTGCCACAGGCCTCCAATGCATCTGAAGGGCAGGGACCCAGACATTCATTCTGCCTGAGGACAAATTCTATAATGACTATTTGCTCTCTACTGGGTAGAGAAGCACTCAAGCTACTAAACTCACAGAGCTACACCATTGTCTACTCAATAGATCAAGTCACTTTTTCTTTATTATAGAATTGAAGTTAGAAGTGACATTGACAGGCAGCTTCTTTCATGCAAATGAGTTACTGACCAAGCTAAGTAAAGATGAAAGACAAACACACTCCACATAGTTCACAAAAACAGCATGCTGGGGTTCGCCTTCACCACCATCCCTGAAATGGCCAGATGACAACCAAGCACCTCAATCATGGTGAGTTTTTCTCATTCTCTTTCAGACTTGGCTCCTGTTTTCTGACCTTTCCCTAGATAATCCAATGCTAATGTTTTCTACAGAGTCACATGACGAAGCCCCACCTATTTTGGGTCCCATGAGGGCCTTGTTCCATGGACAACATGCCATCTGGCCAGGAACCTGGCTGGTTAGACGGTGCTGCCTGGCCGTACGGACTGACCCCCATTCCCATGGGAATTTCACCGGGCCCTGGTGGAGGAAAAAGAGCAGATTCATTTTCAGAGAAGGCAATAGCAAAAATATCCTAAATCATCTTTCTCTTTTTATGAAGGGAATGCTTACGCATTTGAAGCAGCTGCTGCTGCTGCTGCTGCTGCTGCTGCTGCTGCTGCTGCTGCAACGTTGGTCTCACACCTGGGACGCTGTTGGACCGAAGAGGCAATGTGGGCATCGAGCCACCCATCGCAGGTCTGGGTAAAGCAGCGCTGTAATCCGCTCCTGGCCTTCCCATGGAAGGGGAGTTCAATGGTTCCATTCTACTGCTCTTTGGGTTGGGTAAGCCCCAGTCACCTGAGGAAGCAGTCTGATTCACGGTCACATTTCTGTTTGGTCCACCTAAATCAGGGAGAAATGATTATGTCTTTTCCAGATTATACCGAAATCCTTCTTATGTGAGTACAGTCATTACACATGAACTTGACCCAAAAAAATGCTTTGTCATCCTAAGAACAGGGCTGGCCAATTATGAAGACTATTTCTTTAAGACATTTTTTGATAGGCAACTGTTGCCATGTATACATTACAAGTTAGAAAAGGTCTTAGACCAAAAGCTTCCTTAAGGGTTTAAATAACCAGGGGGGCCTGGGTGGCTCAGTCAGTTACAAATCAGGCTCTTTAACTTCAGCTCAGGTCATGATCTCACACTTTGTGAGATCAGCCGCCAGTTAGGCTCTGTGCTGTCAGCCCAGAGCCTGCTTGGGATTCTCTCTCCCCGTCTCTTGGCCCCTCCCCCACTTGCTCATGTCTTACATGCACACACACACACACAGGCTCTCTCTCTCTCAAAATAAATAAAAAAATATTTTTTAAAAGAGCTTAAATAACCAAGACACAGAATTAAGGAAACCCATGAAAGTAGTATGCTAATGTTAATCAAAAACCTATTACTTAACCCAAATTATTTAAATGGCTTTAAGTATTTTAAATTTGCTTTTCCCAAAAGAAAATTTTCATCATAAATATTTATTAGAAATAATGTACCCATAGTTGAGCCATAATTGTCCTGACCGTCCATCATTCTCGGATTCCCACCCAGCATGGGCTGCTTCGGTAACACGGGGAAAGCACTGACACTCTTTACTGGAGGACTTGAGCCGACAGACACAGGGCTATCGAGGGACATGGCTCGGCTGTACGGAGGACGGATGGACTGCACAGACTGTGGGCTCCTCAAACCTGCTGACACACATGCACGATACAGAGTCCTCTTACAATTCAGCACGTATGCAATCAAAGACAATACGTCAACACCAACACCACCCACACAAGACCGTCTTTCTTACTAAAATAAACACTAAGCACAAAAAAAGGGGGGTGGGAGGGACAAAACCCACATATTCCAAGCACAGCAGACAAGAGCCCAGTGCCAGGTGCCGGCCTGGGCATCGTCCTACAACCTGACAGGGTCACCTGGGCCCTGCTTCACTTCATACTATAACTGCTATCAATTGACTCAAACTCCCAGAGGCTCCTCCCTATGGGAACTTATTACGTGGATTCTGTTTAAAATTATATTATGAAATGTAACCAGGTAAGTTGCCCTCTAGTCAAACAAGGAATAAATGCAAAATTTCCTAACTTTTTTCTTTTTCCAGTCCATTTGATTGATCTGACTACCCATTTCACTTTAGAAAGTGTACCACCGAAAATGAATAATCCCCATTCCTGATATCAGTGAATTATTCTTTTTCAATCGATACCTGTAATACACCCTCGTTAAACCGATGAATGAGGAAACCACACAGCTGTGGAGGTGAGGCTGAGGGAGAACCAGCAAACACTAAAGAAGTCCCACAGCTAAATGACAAGGCTCCACAAGTGTCACAGGACAGCTTTCAATCTACAGTTTTAGCTGCTTTTTAAGTCTCTGTGCCTCACAAAAATACATGGTCAGGTACCTAGTAGTGATCTGGAGCAGCCAATGATGAACATTTTCCTCAAAGTTCTACGATTACTGGCTTATTAATTAGAAATAGGAAACTTTTAAAAACAGAAGAATGTCTAGAAAGGCTTTTTAAAACATATGTACTATGAATTAGTATTAAAAACTGAGAGGTAGAGTATGCATTTTGAAGTTAAAACTGCCAATTAGGGGCGCCTGGGTGGCTCAGTTGGTTGAGTGTTGGACTCTTGTTTTTGGCTCAGGCCATGATCTCGGGGTGATGAGATGGAGGCCCATGTTACACTGAACCTGCTTAAGATTCTCTTCCCTCTCCCCCCGACCCCACTCGCGAACACATGCTTGCTCTCGCACACTCTGTCTCTTTTAAAAAAATAAAACAAAAAAATGTTAATTAGACTCCAACCTTAGTGTAAGAGTACAGCTGACTCTTGAACAACACAGGAATTCGGGGCACCAAGCCCCAGAGAGAATAAAAAATCCACATAACTTCGGACTCCCCAAAAACAACTACTAATCACCTACTTTGACCAAAAGACTTCTAGATAAGTCAATTAACAGATATTTTGTATGTTATATGCATTATGTACCATACGCCTAATAAAATGGAGAAAACAAAGAGATCATGAGAAAACATATTTACAGTACTGTACTGTATTTATACCAAAAAAAAAATACACATGTGTAAGTAAACGTGCAGTTTAAACCTGTGTGGTTCAAGGAGTAACTATACATACGAGTGTGCAAAAAACTTTAAAAAGGCAGCAAAAATAAGACTTCGTTCTTTCTTACCCAGAGAATTAGTTCCTTGAAACATCTGCTGCTTGGTTCCAAGATTACTACCATTTGTGGATACGGAATTACTGTAAAAGTCAGAACTAGTCAGATCACCAAGAATAGCATCTAGATTATCCAAATCTCCAGATCCCTGGGGGAAAAAATTTTTTTAATTAACCTATGTGCATTATTAGATATACAGGTATACACGTTCATAAGAAGCACACAAATGAAACAGAAACAAGTAAAACACAACAGTTACTGGAAATGATAATGCCCAATTTAAAGGCTAGCTTCCTAAGGACCCCAGCCCAAATCTTCTTCCCTGAAACAAAGAACCGTTTAAACTACTGAAATAAATCTCTGGGTTTGGAAGTGCTTTCAAACGGAGCATTTTCTAATCTGCAACTGAACTTTAATTCTCAAACTGTAGGTATTTTCTAACTAAGGTTACTCAGGATCATTGGCTGACAGAGGACTGCCTCTATACATACCTTCCAAAAACAAGTATGATCAGTAATAAAGGCAACAAGCTGAAGTTCAACGAGAGATTCACAGGCATGCTTTAAAAAGCGCTCTTGGGGGGCGCCTGGGTGGCTCAGTCAGTTAAGTGTCTGACTTCGGCTCAAGTCATGATCTCACGGTTCATAAGTTCGAGCCCCACGTCGGACTTTGTGCTGACAGCTCAGAGCCTGGAGCCTCCCACACATTCTGTGTCTCCCTCTCTCTCTGCCCCTCCCCTGTTCACACTCTGTCTCTATCTCTCAAATATAAATAAACGTTTAAAAATATTAAAAAATAAAATAAAAAAGAGCTCTTGGTCCATAAATTTGCAGAGCGCTGGGCTAAACAAAATTAAACAGACATCCTAACAGCAAGACTCCCCAAGACTTTCATTTTCTCAGGTGCATATTGACATCTCCCAGAAGAGATAGAGTTTGAGAAACGCTTATGTGGAATGAGCTTGTGTACCAAGGGAAACATGATTTCAGGTCAAAACCAAAATTCTGTTGCTTAACACATGTTCCCCCTCCCCGGCATTTCTTTCTACAATACCTTTATATGACCCAATCTGCTCCAACAAAAAAACCTCCATGAAAATTCTCAAATTCGCTACTGACTGGTTCAAGTTATAGTCACATTTTAAAACCTACACATCTGATTATTTCCAAATTGCGTCACACTACACTTCACTGATGCCCAAAAGAATTACGAAGAAACAAGAGCTCAAGAATAACTTCCATTACATAATCCTAAAATAGAAGATAAGAGTTTGCACATAACATACTGTCTTTCTAACACAGAAATGCAAGGATTCACCACGACGACTAAACTGGAATGTAGAGAGGACAAGTTACCTCTTCATTCGTTTCTGTCTTAATTTTAGAGTCTTTCTCTTGACTCGAGCTAGGGACGGCGGAGCTGCTGCACTGACCCCCTTTACTGTCCACTCCCTCCACTTTGGGCTGCAGTTCTTTAGAGAGAGCATCGCTAGCATCGTCCCTGTCCAGCAGGTATCTAAGAAGCGCATTACTTTCCTTCTTCTTAGGACTCAGGTGCTCCTGCTTGACACTCCCTTCCACACAAGACGCTGAACTACTGGTGTCCTTCCCTGTGGCCTCGGCGGTGATCTTGGCTACCTCTGCCGGGGAGTTCCCGTTCTGCAGCAGCTTGTGCAGGATCCGGTGTTTCTCCTGCAGCAGTGACCCATGCATATTGGAGGTGGAGGACACTCCTCCAGAGGTCGAAGAGGAGACCCCAGAGGGGCTGGTGACACTAATGGAAGAGTCTTTGCAACCTGAATCCAGGGGGGAGTTGGTCAAGGAGGAATGGCCCCGGTCATCAGAAGAACAGGTCAGTAACTGCAGTAATTTTTTATGACCTTTGCTTTCCAGAGGACCCCTCTGATTCTCTGACCCTTCGATGCTGCTCTCCTTACTTTCTTTGTCACTGAGGTGATCCCTGCTGTTTGACGGGCACATTGAACTCTCCACTGGATTCTGGTCACAATACAAGCCCAAAGGACTCTTGGAATCCTGACTGTTCACTTTACTTGGCTGGCTTATGTTCATATTGGGAGAGTTATCCAACTTGGGGCCTGGTGAAGACAGAGTGGAGAGAAGAGAAGTCCCCACACCCTCGCTGATAGCTTGAAGAGCACTCAGAGAGCTACTAGAAAAGCTGTGGCTCCCAGTACTGCTGGAAGATCCCATGGGCGAGTGCACACCTGGGTGTGGAGAAAAATTAAGGCAAGAATTAGATCATCAGATGCTGTAACAAACCACCACCACATGCTGTTGTAAAATGAACTACCTTTAAAAAGAATTACGCTAGAGTAAAAAGAGAAGGATTCCTGAAGTTGAAAAGACAAAGAAGAGGAAATGCAAACACAAATACCTGCAACGGGAGAAAACTGATGTGAGGCCATCTTCGGACTCCCACGATTACGAGGGGAAATCATGATGTTCTGCTGGCTGGAGCCAAGGCCAGGGCTCCCATGGGGGGGGCTACTCATGTTGAGGCCACAGCTGTTGTTCTGGTAGGAGGAGGGAGACTGCATTCCTGGCCCAGGGTTCAGTGAGGCGACAGTACCGGGTGCCCCGTAGCGAGGCACATTCATCTGCCCCGTGGAGCTGGGGCCGGCCAAGCCACAGGGCCTACCGCTCAGCACCTGTAAGCCTTGGTGTGGCAACACGCTCATGCCGCCCACCGAACTGCTGCATCCAGCTGCTGGAGGCCGAGTGCCCTGTCCAACAGGGTTCGGGTTCGGTCTGTACCCATTCTGTTCCCTGCAAAGAAAGGAGACAAACCTTCACTAAAATATTACAAGCATGCATTAAAACACTCAAGATTTTTTTTTTTTTAAATGATGGAGTGCTAGGAACTTCACTTCCTAGGCACCATCCCAACACTTAGGATCAATTCCAATTGAAATACTCATCAGTTACGAGCCCAAAAACATACTTTTTAATATGCCACAGAGTCTGTAGGAGGGACCAGCACCACAGCACTGTGAAGGGCCAATAGTTATGTGAACTGGGATTGCAGCAGGATACTAGAGTTGCCACAAATCCAGGGGCTAACCTGGAGGTACCTGCAAATTACTCAAGATCATTAACAGGTGCATATTCTGCTCTTCCATGTCTGGCTCATTTACCACCAGCAATGGTAACAGTAACTATCCATTTTCTGTAAAGTCTACTTTCAAATTTTACATGCAATCCCTAGAAGCAATGTAACACGTCAGAAATAAAAGGTTAACAGCTGTAGTCACATTAGATATGTTCTTTTACCCATTAGCCTTCCCATTCCCCAGGAAGTGATTAATGCGCAAATCCTCATTTTCACATAATCTTAAAAAACATACCATAACCCAGGAATCTGAACTCACTTTAGCAAACCGAGAGTCTGTGCTTTTTCTCTAGTTAAATCTTGCTTTCTACATTAATAGTAAGGCACTTTGAGTACACTGCTGCATTTAACATGAGGAGACGCAGTAATCTATCATTACCTCTGAAGAAAGTGGGTTGAGACAAAGCCATGCCGGTCATTTGTGACAGGATTTCGGAAGAGCTTGCTTTTGGTTTGTGCAGTCACTATGGTTCCATCAGCCAATGAGAATCTATACACTGGGGTCTCTGCGTGGCCATGGATATAAGCTATTGGGGAAAATATGCCATTACTAGTGACTACAATTGGCAAAACAGATACATAAAAGAGAGGAGAGAAAAGAAAGGAAATATACTTCAGGTGCCATGCTTTCAAAACCCAGTGAAAAGCCTGGACCTGCACCACAATTACAAGTAGGCTAAAAGAAGGGTTCTCGAGAATCTCTTTCATACCCCGCACGCACAGAACAGCAACGACAGCCGTGTATGTACTTCATGTGTTATGCTATACAAACACAAAATCAAACAAGACCAAGAATCAACCTCAGAATTCTTTACCTTCTTGATAGTGACGTTTCTGGGACCATGACTGACCATCATTAAGACTAAAAAATCTCTGGATACACCTTCGGATAATATCTTCAAAGCCGGGCCTCATGGAGGATCTCAGTGAATTTGTATCTATGTTGACAACTTTTCCTATTAAACAGAAAATAAAGAGTTAAATCCAACCCACACATATTTCCCAGTTGCACACTGACTACATGGCTTAGCTCTCAAGAATAAAATAAAGACACTAAATCTTGGCTCCATGTACTCTGCTATATCCAGAGCTTTCCTTTTTAAGGACACAGTCCTACGAGACATCCTTACATGAAATGTCCTACCGTACAGAGCATCACAGAACTCCTTTCACTTTCTGAATGTACAGAACAGAACATGGCCAGATAACCTTAGGTTCGTTTTCACTTAGAAGAAAAAAAACAACACCTACCACTAAAATTGTTCTTTTGAAGATATTCTGTCCCTGGAGCTATGAAAACACCTACCTACACAGCTAGCAGGGACAATTCTTTTCATCTGAGAGGTAACTGTATTTTTGGACACTTAAAATCTAAACCAGGAAGGTTAACCAAATACTCATTTCTACAAGTCTGGAAGTTTCTGACAACTTCTGTTTATCATCAAATACACTACATAGACAAAATGTATACAACTCAAAAATACTATGAAATTAAAGGTTTTATGAAGAGGGCCCTTAAAAAATGATGGCTAAGCCTTTCAACACTTTAGGAGCAGCATCAGGGCACTCTGGCAAGAATAAACACCTAACAAAAAGTGGCAAAAAAGGAGCCAAGAAGAAAATAGTTGATCCATTGTCAAAGAAAGAGCAGTGTGAGGAGAAAGCACCAGCGATGTTGGATGAAGAGAATATTCAGAAAACATGAGTCATAAGAACTTTGTTGATGGACCACAACAGCCTCTAGAACTGTGCTTCTGAAGTGAGCCTTGCTGATCCCTCAGGACGTTTGAGGTCACATTTTAAAAATTCAAACTAATTACTGAGGACACCCAGGGCAAAACCTGTGTGACCAACATTTGGGACACGGACGCCCATAATAAAACATGCTCCTGGCCCAAAACATGCCCGACTATGATCCGAAGCTCAGGTTGGTATCAACAATCAATGGTTGTTTCTGCCCGCCGTGCATATGCCTCACTGAGAAATGAAATACCCAGACCCAGACGACCTCTTATGCTCACTCAGCACCAACAGGTCTACCAAATCGGGAAGCTAATGGGAATCCTGACCCAACCAAGAAGGGCAGACAAATGACTTAAAACAAGTGGTTTAATGATTTGATCCCTGGCAGACTGGGAAAGATCTAGAAAAGGCTTTTGAATTTATTTATCCTCTCCATGATGTGTGTGTCAAAAAAGTAAAAATGCTGAAGAAAATCAGGTTTGGACTGGGAAAACTCATAAAGCTTCACATGGTGTAAGATAGCTCTGAAAACGCTACTAGGGAGGAGAAAGGCACTAATGGTGGATGAGCTCATGGACAGAGACCCCAGGTAAGAATCTGCTTAGTTAGGGGCACTCACTTTCAAATGTCCCTTCTCTGTAGAGAGCTTCCTATTAATTTTCTAATCTTATACTCTAATAAACTTTTGCCTGCTGCTTATTTTAAAAAAAAACTTTAAAATCCAGACTTTTTTTTTTTTTTAATGTTTTATTTATTTCTAGGAGAGAGAGAGAGAGACAGCGTGAGCAGGGGAGGGTCAGAGAGAGAGGGAGTCACAGACTGAAATAGGCTCCAGGCTCTGAGCTGGCAGTCAGCACAGAGCCCGATGCAGGGCTTGAACCCACGAACCATGAGATCATGACCTAAGGGAAAGTCGGATGCTTAACCGACTAAACCACCCAGGTACCCCTAAAATCCAGACCTTTAATGACACACTAAAAAAAGTCTTAGGGCACCTGGGTGGCTCAGTTGGTTAAGTGTCCAACTTCAGCTCAGGTCATGATCTCACGGTTCGTGGGTTCAAGCCCTGCATTGGGCTCTGTGCTGACAGCTAGCTCAGAGCTTGGAGCCTGCTTCGGATTCTGTGTCTGCCTCTCTCTCTCTCTCTGACCCTCCCCTGCTCACACTGTCTCTCTGTCTCTCTCTCAGAAATGAAAACATTAAAAAATTTTTTTTAATTTAAAAAAATTTTTTTAAATCTTAATAATGAAGGAAAAAAACAACCCACTGAGGGAGAAGTGACAAATGCATTCCAGGAAAGAATAAACGTTTACGTGCTGTGCTCAGAACAAGGCTGATCTGTCCTCAACCACCTCCTCTGAGATTGGCTCTGAGACCCAGATGACAAACACAAAATAGATGCTCAAAAAAGTTTACGTCTGGGACAGTGAATGAAATCTCTCCAGAGGTCAAAAAAGTATTCTGTTGAGTGCAACAAACTTCCTATGAAAGGAGAGAGAGTAACTGGAAAATACCAGCTATGGTCAGATGGCTCTCAGATGTGACCCAGACAAAAGGATTTCATTTCCTTTTGCCTGCCTGGTAATTTCTAACTTTTATAATAAGAAAAGAAATTAAGGAGATTATTTTTAAGGTTCTATTCACTAAATTGCTTGCGTAAACATGTTCTGTTTAGTATTTTCAGTTATAAAATGTGAAATATTGTTATTCAGGGAGAAAATTTAGCCTGCCAAAACATCATAGACACAGAGTAAGAACCACTCTAGAAGGTAAAAATTCACATCAAAATTCCTGTCAACAGGTTTGATTATCTCAAAGTAAGTAAATAAAGAAAAAAATTCTTCCTTTATAAAATAATATTTATCAGTATAAACACATCATCAAGTATACAAAGAACTTTTTTTGCTACTTTCTTCATCTGTGGAAATTAATCTCAAACAGCCTCAAGACAGGTAACTAAGCCTGGCATAAAATGATGGAGAACTACAAAAATAGTTCTTTTTTTTTTTTTTTAACAATAAAATACTGCTATGTATGTATGTGTACGGAAGTACACATAAATATATATGCACTTGTGCACACACAGGTCATAACTATAGGTATGTTATGTGTATTTGAATTTTTTTCAAGTTTATTTTTGAAAGGGAGAGAGAGACTATGCACAGGGAAGGGAAAGAAAGAGAATCCCAGGCAGTCTCCCCTGCCAGAGCCGGATGCAGGGCTCGAACTCACAAACCATGAGATTAGAGCCAAAGCTGGATGCTTAAATGACTGAGCCACCACCCAGTGCCCCATGTATATTTAAATGCATTCCATTTTCTCAAATCACTTGTTGTAGGTCCACACGGTAGACACAAAGCAAATAGCAAAGGCTTTGACATCAGGCAGACCCAACTGCAAATTCTTTATCAGTCAAGATGTTAGCTTGGACAACGAACTCAATCTCTATCACCAGGCCTGTTTCCTCATCTCTGGGATGGCACCTACCAGACTAGCCCTGGCATCACCATTCAGGGCTAGATGATCCCATGAGTAACCCTGAAGGTGAATACAGATAATGATGCAATGGCATTTTCATTTCATCATTTTGCTTGATCACTTATACTGGCTTTAAGTCTTTATTTCCATAGTCATAAAAGAGCAGACCAAGTTTGAAGCTCATGTTGGTATCAAAAATTACTCCCAGTAATTCTCCTTAAATTACCATACTGCTGAAGACTTGCTTATGAAAAACGGGTTTGAAGTTGAAAAAAGAAATATCCTGATTTCAAATGCTATTTGAAGAGAAAGATAGGTGCTTCTACATTTATTTTTTGTTTGTTTATTTGAGGGAGTCTAATGGTCAAGTATATCCCAACTCACATGTCAAGGTAAGTTTTAGTTGCATAAAAAACATAAGAAATGGGAGTGCTGGGTGGCTCAGTCAGTTGAGCATCTGACTCTTGGTCTTGGCTCACGGTCTGTGAGTTTGCGCCCCACGAAGGCTCTGTGCTGACAATGGGGAGCCTGCTTAGGATTCTGTCTCTCCCTCTCTCTGCTCCTCCCTTGTGCACACACGCTCTCTCTCTCACAATAAATAAATAAACTTTAAAACAAGAAACATAAAAAATAATTTATGCAAAGCATTCACTACAGGGGGTACAGACACTTTATGTGACAGTGCAGGCTGCAGAAATAGTTAACTGTCATAAAAACTCTCAAACGAACAAAACGTGTGTACGTACACACACACACACACACACACACACACACACACACACACAGATTTTACCTGAAAGATCGTGTCTAGTAATAAAGCTCTCAGGGTTTGAAGGAAATGCTCTTTCGCCTGTAGTAATGCGGCGTGCTACACAGATCATACAGGATTGCAAATCTATGATAAAAATTTAACCAGGTGAGGATTACATTTAACTTCTGGACAGGTGTGGTCAACAGGCAAGTAAGTGAACACAACGAGAGAAATCACAGAACTACAAAACATCTCAAACACGTGATGCATCTTACCTTCCCCCTCCTCCATCATAGCTCGCGGCTGAGACAGGGCAAAGCACTGCATTGTTTCGTATCTCTGGCGCATTTCAGGGTTAGTGTTTAGGTCTTCCAGAATATCATGTGGTGTTTTCATCAGCATACGGCAATTAAAAGTATGGCTCTTTTGTCTCTGGGTCTCATTTGTCCAGGCAACTCCATTGACTTTGGAAAACAAATTGAAAAAAAGTTTTTTAAAAAGCTGGTAACTCAGGGGCCCCTCGGTGGCTCAGTCAGTTAAGTGTCCAGCTTTGGCTCAAGGTTATGATCTCACAACTCATGAGTTCCAGCCCCACACTGGGCTCTGGGCTCTGCTTCAGATTTGCTCTCCCTTCACTTTCTGTCCCTCCCCCACTTGCCTCATTCTTTCAAAAATAAACATTTTTGTGTGTTAAAAAATTTTTTTAAAGAAAATACACATTAAAAGACTACCTGTAGATTTCGGTAAGTTTTTAAGGAAATCCTTTCTGTCTTCTTCATGCAAGATACTGTAGACACTTGTGTTAACCAGGTCTTCTTGCTTATACTGCAGGTACTGTGTGACATTTTCTGACACAAATACAATGTTTCCATCACGATTCACCACAAACAGGAAACCATCCAACGCCTAAAGTAGAGAGGTTAATGTTGGCTATTATGGACTGAACTGTATCCCCCACCAAAATTCACATTTTGAGGCCCTAACACTCAATGTGGCTATATTTGGATACTTGGAGATAGGGACCTGGTTATAGGGGGCAGGGGACAGAATGTTTAGGTTAAATGAGTTCTTAAGACTAGGGCTCTAATCCAAAAGGACTGATGTTCATACATAAGAAGACGGATGCCAGGGAGGCACACGCACAGAGAAAAGGTCACAAGAATACACAAGGAAAAGACAACCATCCACAAGCTAAGGAAAGAGGGCTCAGGAGAAACCAAGCATGCCAACACCTTGACCTTGGACTTCCAGCATCCAGAACTTTAAAAAATAAATTTGTTGTTTAAGGCACCTAATCTGTGATATTTTGTTACGCAGCCTTGGCCAATTAAGACACCAGCCTTAGTACTAAACAGAATTTTTTTACAACTACTATGGATTTAACAACCACTGCAAACAACTATCACCCACCACTTAATCATTTCTAGTAATAATAGCACAATTACTATAGGATTTTATTTAAAAAATTAAAAATAAACAGAATTTGAGAGGCGCCTGGGTGGCTCAGTTGGTTAAGCATCCAACTTTGGCTAAGGTCATGATCTCATGGTTTGTGAGTTTGAGCCCCGAGTCAGGATTGCTGCTGACAGCTCTGAGCCTAAAGCCTACTTGGGATTCTGTATCTCCCTCTTTCTCTGACCCTCCCCTGCTCACACTGTTTCTCTATCTCTCAGAAATAAATAAAAATACATTAGAAAAATTTCTTTTAGGGGCGCCTGGGTGGCTTAGTCGGTTAAGCGTCTGACTTTCGCTCAGGTCATGATCTCGCGGTTCGTGGGTTTGAGCCCCGCGTCAGGCTCTGTGCTGACTGCCAGCTCAGAGCCTGGAGCCTGTTTCAGTCTGTGTGACTCCCTCTCTCTATGACCCTCCCCTCCTCCCCTGCTCACGCTGTCTCTCTCTCTCTCCTAGAAATAAATAAAACATTAAAAAAATTAAAAAGAAAAAAAAATTTTCTTTTAAATAATAAATGTAATTTTTAAAAGTTAAATAATTTTGAGGGGAAAAAAGATAAATATAGTCAACATAAAATCTGAATGAATGTCTAATTTTTGAAGAATTACATCTTGAAAAGAATTTTTAAAAATAAGAAAATCACCCTTAGCACTTCCTGCTTTTCCATTTGATATCAAATCAAGCTACAGGATCTATCCCACTCCCGAATGAGAATTTACAAAGAAGAACTGAACTGATCAACTAAAAAGTAGTTAGAGTGAACTAGTTGAAACAAAAAAAGCTGGGGCACCTGGGTGGCTCAGTCGGTTAAGTGCCTGACTTTGGCTCAGGTCATTATCTCACGGTTTGTGGGTTCTAGCTCCACGTCAGGCTCTGTGCTGACAGCTCAGAGCCTGGAGCCTGCTTTGGATTCTGTGTCTCCCTCTCTCTCTTACACTCCCCTGCTCACACTGTCTCGCTCTCTCAGAAATTTAAAAAAACAAGTTTGTTTTTTTTTTTAAAGTTAACAGTTGCACTTTATGAAGAGCCTCCTCTCTGCCCCCATCTCTTGCTTTAAATAAGCAAGAGAAACACGCTGTAGGTGAGTCACGTCGGTGAGTCAAACCTACTTAAGACACCTACTTACAAAACAATTTTTAAGCACGTCACAAAAGCATATGTCAACAATTCCCCACAAGTATAATCTACTTGCCTGAAGTAAAAGTGGTCCCAAGGAATCTTTATCAATAACTCCCTGCCCCGTAGAGGAAACATCAGCTTTCTGAACATCATCATCATTGGAAATGGCTTTTCCTGAAAAGACAGAAGACAATACTACAAACAACACATCTATCAGTTACAGATCAAATCACCTCCAAACAGTCCCCAGAAGACACACACACACACACACACACACACACACACACACGCACGCACGCACATGCGCGCATACATATGCACACACTCATTTCCTGATAAGAAACCAATGCTACAATTTTTGAAACTTAAAAGAGTTACCCAAGAGGGCAGAAAATACCCTTAATTTTCTTTCACCACTAACACATACTATCCCATGGCTTCCTTGAAAGGGAACTGACATGTGACAGGGTGAGAACACTGGTCTCTTTCTAATGCTCTATTAACTATTTCTCAAGGAGCACTAAATTGGTCAACTCATTTGCCCAGTCACACAGCTAAGAGGTTCAACTGGCAGCAGTCCACACATGAGCAACAAGGTAGCAAAAAGGCAAATGTAAATACAGTTAATAAGTTCCTTCTGAAAAGATTTGAGTGTTCTTCTTACTTTGTATTACCTTGCTCTTTTATTTGACGGATCTGTCTTACTGTTTCCTTTAAAATTGCACATTTATCTGGTTTGACATTGAAATTGTCAATATCACTAAGATTAGCAGATATCAGTTCAGCCAGTTCTTCAATATATTTGCTCTCCTGCTCCCGCCTCCACTTTTCACCACTGCAGGTAAGGCTGAGAGAGAAGACAGGATGGGGTGGGGGGAGAAAGGCCATGAATGTCCCTATCAGAAAAAAACTGTAAGCAGACTCAGTCTCTAAACACCAGTACCTTCATATATAAGCAAATTAAATTTAGCCAATAGAACCTGGGGAAGCAGTACAGTACAGCAGAAATCCAGGCAAACCTAAACGCTACCCGCCTTTCTGTCAGCCTGGTGGCCCTGGGGAGACATAGTCTCTGATCATGCAGAAAATGAGGGTACACGGTCTTTACCTCATAAGACATAGTAAACAACGAATAATAATGAAAGGTAGCTGAAAATAGCTACTTATTAATGACAAGGTTTACATAAGGTTTATAAGCCATTTTTTACTTCGTAAGAATCCTATTAAAACTCAAGTCATACTGACCTTGGCAAATACTAAAAAGGCTAGTGTATCACTGCATGAAATATTTGATTTCTATTTTTTTTTAACTTCAAACTTTATTCAGGAAAAGGAAGATGAAACCCCACAAAGGTCAAAATATCAACTTACAACATTTTCTTACGGGAATTTAAAGAGTAATCTGACTTGCAACAATCCTGATTATCTATTCCTGACTCCTACCCACCTCTTTCCTTGAGAAATGCCCCCCCCCGCATCAAAACTGTTAGTCATTAGACTAATTCTCTTCTACCTGAATCAGCAATAAGATTTATATTATATCATAAGGATGTCTGCCTGATCACTGTTCCATTCTACTTAAGTCAAAGCAAAATCATATTATTTAAGCAAAGAAAAAAAAAAAACCTAGCAGAGAATTTAAGTAACAGAAAACTAAACTGTTAGCTTTAAGCCAAAAAAATAATGGTGGGGGAGGAGACGTTGGGGAAGGATGACAAAACAAGCGGCCTACCCCTGTCCTGCGGTATCACACGGCAATTTGCGTTTTCGTGAATCAGGGGCCAGTGGATCCAAGGAGTTTTCTCCTATTCCGCTCATTGTGCCAGTACATCAGCAACTAAGAAAGAATGCTGATAAGATGAGAACGTTATAAAACATCCATGATTCTATAAAGGTGTCATTTGCTTGAATGGCTAAATCTTGTAATTCAGAACTACTTTCCCTAAATGGTTAGGTAAGTCTTAATATTCTTTATTATAAATGAGTACTCTGAAGACAATGTCAGGAGTTCACATTCCAGTTTAATTCTGCAGAATGTCCAACCCCAAGACTAAAATCTTTCTCAAGTTTTACTAAAAACGTGTACGTTGAATACTCTGAGTACTTCGAAGGATTAGGAAGGCATCTTCTTCATATTTAACAACAAGAAAAAGAGACTCAGGACTGAGGGCCCTGAGATCAAGTTCCACATTAGGTGTGGAGATTACTTAAAACTAGTATCTTAAAAACAAAACAAAACAAAACAAAAAACACAACAACAATCCTTGGGACGCCCGCTCAGTCAGTCGAGCTCAGGTCATGATCCCAGGAAAGTGGGATGAAGCCCCATCCATGCTGTGCTCTGTACTGAACATGGACTTTGCCCAAGATTCATTCATTCTCATTCATTCTCTCCCCCCTCCAAATAAAAATAAAAATAAATTGAAAATAAGAAAAAATTCCTGAGTTTTATTTATACCCAGCAAAGGACCAATTAGAGCTTATCCTGCCACTTGGTAAGGAGTCTTCAAATGATAAAAGTCTACAATTTTTTTTCAGGCTATTTTCAAAGTAGCACATTGCTTTCCTTTAAACCATTTCATTAATATTTATTACCCACTGTGTTTTTCTTCTATGACTTCAAAGATAACCCTAGAATATGTAAATAATCCATAAGCCCCACTACGTGAGGCCTGCACAGTAGATGCACAATGAAAGGTGTGGGGGGGTGGGGTCATGAGATCCAAATAGCAGTAATCATTTTAGTAACAACTGAGGGAAATATAGTATGTTTTGCTTAAGGATTTAACAATAAAGAAAATAACATAGGGAGTTTCTTGTTGAAAAAAAAAAAAAAGCAGGTTTTAACATTTCAGTAGCTCCTAATTTTAAGACTTCTACTAAGCCCTCACTTATGAAGAATTTTATTTGTCCCAATTCTTGTTTAGAGGACTATCATTGTTCTAAAGAATCCCAAATCAATTAAGAAGTTGGAATTTTCCAGGGCGCCTGGGTGGCTTAGTCGGTTAAACGTCTGACTTCGGCTCAGGTCACGATCTCACCGTTCATGGGTTCGAGCCCCACATCGGGCTCTGTGCTAACGGCTAGCTCGGAGCCTGGAGCCTGCTTCAGATTCTGTATCTCCCTCTCTCTCTGACCCTCCCCTGCTCATGCTGTCTCTCTCCCTCCCTCTTTCTCTCTCTCAGAAATAAATAAAACATTTAAAAAAATGTTTTTAAAGTTGGAAGTTTCCAAACTATTTTTTTCTTAATATGTTAAAATGCATCTTGCATTCCATCTAGATTTTTAGACCTATGCTGAAGGACATAAACTTCCACTAGATGGCACAATACTACGGAGAGAGGAGACAAAAATGCAAAATTTCACACAGGATGTTAAAAAAAACTTAAAAAGCATAGCTTTTAAAAACTCAAAACCACATAATCATTAACCAAGAGGTCTAGATTATGACATCATTTGTACAGATACTGTAGGTATGAATTAAATACCAACAAAATTCATTCTACCTGTAAGTTTGGTGGTAAAATGTAAATCAAAGCTGAAAAGCTGAGAGGTTTCCAAGAGTATGGTTTTTTTTTTCCTCACAACATTGTTAAAATAAAGGAGAGAAAATAACGTAAAATATCTTTTTTAATAATTTTTTAATGTTTATTTATTTTTGGGAGAGACAGAGAGACAGAGAGAGAGAGAGAGAAACAGAGTGTGAGCAGGGGAGGGGCAGAGAGAAAGGGAGACACAGAATCCGAAGCAGGCTCCCTGCTCTGTGTAGACAGCACAGAGCCCAGTGCAGAGTGCGAACTCACAGACCGCAAGATCACGACCTGAGCTCAAGTTGGAGGTTTAACCGAATGAGCCACCCAGGCTCCCCAAAACTTAAAATATCCTTGAATAATAGTGGTTCAATATTATGATTCTGAAGCATACCCAGACCCCACAAGGCCAGAAATAATGTATTCTTCAAAAATGACAATGTCATAAAAGACAAAGTCTATAAACATTCCAGATTTTAAATAAAACTAAAGAGAAATGACAAATATGATATTTGATCCCATACTAGAGTCCGTCCTAGAGAGGGGAAATGCTATAAAGCATGTTACTGGATCAAGTGACAAATTTAAAATATGGACGAAAGGAATATTTTATCAGTGTTAAATTTACAGAAGTTGAGTTCTGTACATATTTAAGAAGCTATCCTTATTCTTAATATTTACAGCAAATGGGTCATTATGTGTGTAAATGACCCTCCACTGGCAGAGGCCATTTTATGTGAATGAGCGAGAAAAGGAACCGGAGAAGCAAAGGAGAGGGAGGGGAAGAGGAGAAAGGAGGGCAGCAGAATACTGGCACTGGATGAAACCTGGTGGGAGAGAAACTTTTAGATTCTTTAAATTTTATTCTTTTTCCTGCAACTTTGCTTTTAGTTTAAAACTATTCCCCAATAAAAGGTTTTAAAGTATGTTCAGTTTTTATCTCCAATTTTCATAAAGCAATCCTTAAGTACAGAAAAATAATTTTAGCTATGTCTCAACACACCTGGTTTTATACGTTTCATTCACAAAGCTATTTTTAAATTGAGTGGCCAACTATCTAGTGAGTAATAACATTTCTTTTTTCTTTAATGTTTATTTATTTTTGAGACAGAGACAGAGCACTGTTCGGGGAGGTGCGGGGAGAGAGGGAGACACAGAATCTGAAGCAGGCTCCAGGCTCCGAGCTGTCAGCACAGAGCTTGCTGTGGGGCTCAAACTCATGAACTGTGACATCATGACCTGAGCTGAAGTCAGACACTCAAGCGACTGAGCCACCCAGGGGCCTCAAGTAATAACATTTCTTTATGTTAAAAATAACAATAACCAAAAGTATGGGAAGCACACAAATGTCCATCGATGGATGAATCCCAAGCAAGCTCCATGCTGTGAGCACAGAGACAACAAACCCTGAGACCATGACCTGAGCTGAAATCGAGAGTCAGATGCTTAACCAAATGAATCACCCAAGCGCCACAAAGTTAAAGCTTTTTAAAATTTTCACTTCCACTTATATAGGATGTCCCCAAAATGAGTTTTAAAGACATAAATTATATCAATAGAGAATCAAAACCATGACAATCTCTTAGTATGAAAGAAAGCAATAATCGTAATTATCAGTCTAATCAGGAAATGCACACAAGTCATTCACATTCAGCCAATTTTTATGTGCAGGCAAAGAACTGTAAATATATCTACATGTATCCATGTATACAAACGCGGCTCCTTCTCTTGATCTGGCAACAGCAAGCTATCATGTATAGGACTGACTAGTCTATGTGTCATCAAATTTACTCTTTCACTGAATCCACTAACCTCCAGTAACAAAGGAAATCATCCCGCAATGTACTACGTAAAATTCTAATGTAAAACCATGAAGGTTTTGTTAAAATAAGACATAAAATATTTCTCATTATTTCTTTTTTTAAAAACAGAACAGATTTGTCCATTTTTTTTCCTAGTTTTTGCTCAGATGTGAACAAATCACATTTACAGCACAACAGCTAGGCAAGCCTAGGTGGCTCAGTCAGTTAAGTGACGGACTCTTGATCTGGGCCCAGGTCATGATCTCCCATTTAGTGAGTTCTCGAGCCCCAAGCTGGGCTCTGCACGGACACTGTGGAGCCTGCTTGGGATTCTCTCCCCGCCGACTACCCCCCGCCCCCGCCCTGCCCAATGTGGTGTGTACACGCATGTGCAGTACACTCATTTTTCTCTCTGCCTCTCTCAAAATAAATAAATAAACTGTTAAAAAAGGATTTGAGGTCCCTGGGTGACTCTGTCAGTAAAGCACTGGGCTCTTGATCTCGGCTCAGGCCACAATCTCACAGTTCGTGAGTTTGAGCCCCACATTGGGTTCCATGCTGACAGCATAGAACCTACTTGGGATTCTCTCCCCCTCTCTGTCCCTCCCCTGCTTGCACATGCTCATGCGCTCTTAATTAAAAACACTTTTTTAAAAAGGCTTATTGCACAATATGTAAAAGACCACATGATTTCTAACAGTGAACAATCTTAAAATAACAAAAAAATTCAGCAAATGTATCTCCTAAATTTCATTATGACCAAGAAAATGTTCAATATGTAAAAGAAAAATTGTATTTCTGCTTAAAAATACTTTTCAGCATATACAACAGCTAATACAATTATTCCTGAGCACAAATGACAATTACTTTATATATAATTTTCTGTTTATTTGGTATTAATCTTCATTACAAACATAAAAATTGTAAATAGCATTTGTTTTACTTGCCAGGTCTGCTGCCCTGTTCTCACTGCCAGAGATGGACTCAAAACTATCCGTCTGAGGGGATGTAGGATATACTTTGGTAAATTACTCTTTCTAAGGCATAAAAGGTCAATGTTTACATACACATCCTAAATCTAAATCATTTTCAGTCAGGAGTCAAGAATTGGGGTGGGAGGGAAGAATACATTACATACTAGGCCCACGAATAATTCTGCCCCCCAAAATCTAAAAGTTAAGAAACATAAATCAGTAACTGTATAGCTTACATTTTTATATCTTAAATTATAACCCATTTAGGTTGGAGGATATATGGAGTTAGTAAAATCCATATTCGAAGGGGAAATAATATAACCCAAGAGTCCCAAAGTATCTCTGATAAGAACAATCTTGAATACTTAGCCCCTTCTAAATTCTTGACTCCCTACAATTAAAGATAACCTACACAGCTGAGTAGAAAATTAAGACCACAATATACACCTGCCCCCAAGTAACCTGTACTCTTGAAATCCCCTTACAAATCTAATAACGACTTGCACTGATGGATTCTGAAGTTGCTAATGAAGAGACGTCCCCC